TTGATTGGTTGCCTCCTGCATGTGCCCTGACCTTTTATTGAATTATTAATCATTTCTATGAGGATCATTAGTAATATAATTGACTTTTAAAATCTTATTTTAATTGATGAAAGAAACCATTTGTGAGTAGAACAGAGATAGACTTTATGATGATTTTATAAGTATACAAATAGTAATGATATTGTTTGACACATATTTAGTGCTTCTTAAAATATTTATATGTGTATCAGTTTGTTCCAGTAATTAATGGAAAAGAATTACAGCATCCTCTCATTGTTCAACTTTGTGATCAGTGGGATAATCCAGCACCTGTACCACTGGTTAAAATAAATATCATAAAAGCTAACAATTTAAAGGTAAGTTTTAAATGTCCTTAAGTAATTTTCACTTAAAATTTTCGATTTCATTCTTATAGTAATGTCTTTAGGTGTCACATTTCTTTTTTTTAAATGTAGTCTATACTTAAAGATTTTTATCAATTTAAAGATTTTTCATAATTATTTTATGGAAATAAAGTTTGTATCTTACAAGTACTGTAAGAAGTTAGCAGCATTCTTCAATTATGACTGTTTGAGTATTTATTGTGCAACTAGAGGCCTGGTGCATGAAAATTCATGCTCTGGAGCGGGGAGTCCCTCAGCCCGGCCTGCCCCCTCCCACAGTCCAGGAGCCCTCAGGGGCAGGAGGCGCCCGGCGATAAGAGGAAGGCGACATCCACATCACACCTCTGCTGCCACTGCCAGCAGTGCAAGCCTTGGCCGGCCCTGGTTCCCTGAGCCTTGGGCAGCTCAGGGTGGCTGGGCAGCCACCATCCAAGGCTTGCCTGCGCCTCGGACCCACCCTAATCGGCTGGGCAGCCGACTTCCGAGGCTTGCCTGCGCCTTGGGCCGGCCCCGGGGGGCTGAGGGTGGGTCTGGCCACACCATGCCTGCCACGCCCGACCCCCAGCAGGACTGAAAGGACTGGGGGACTCCAGCAGGGCTGAGGGGATGGGCGCCGCCATCTTGTGGCTATGGGCCCTGCCATCTTTGTGATGGTGTGATGGTCAATTTGCATTTCCCTCTTTATTAGAATACTAATATTTGGATTTTGGATTAGGATGAATAGATAACAGTGACAAGATGTGACTGAAGGGCAGATATAATGACCCGCAGTATGAATTAAGGAACAGGTATTGGGGAAACTTACAAGCTGAGGATAAGCAAAAAAAGTCATGATAGGTACCTACCAGGGCCTAGGCATAACTGCTAAAACTACCCTGGGTTGTTCTAGGGTATGGGGCAGTCATGTACATGGCCTTGTAATATTTGGTGTAAAGTTGGAAGCCCTTCTATGAGGGGAAAAGCAAGAAGTTGCCAGTCTCTTACAAAGTTGTGTTTTGACACAATCCCTCCTATTGGTTGAAGGGAATTAATTTGCTCCAGCAAGGTTGTTACCAGGCAACACAGAGAGAGTTCCTAAGGTAATATTCAGCCAGACTTGAATTTTATAATTTTAGTGAATGAAAACAGTTGATAATATGTAAATACACAGTTCCTTGAAATTAATCATCAGTTCAATAAGAACCCCAATAGGGATTTACCAGGACCTAAAAAGTTGATTTTAAAAGACATACAGGACTTGTTTTCAATCCTCACATATAAGAGAGCCATGGCTGGTGATTGAGTTAGTTGGAGAGTCATCCCCTATGCAAAAAGCATATTACGGGGTGAGGATTAAAAAGAAAAAGACATACAGGTTTTTAAAGTGCCAAGAATGGCTTGTGATCCGCATGGACTTGTTTTCATAGTAAAGTAATCAGGGTTAAAATAATCTGTCAAAAAGATGATATTGCTGCTGTGCAATCAGAAATAGACTTGCTTCTCTGGCTTAGCAATAAGGATTTAGGGCCTATTTTGAGAAAAATGGGTTGAGAGATAAGGGATCAAAGGGTAAATGTGACAGGTAAAAATATAGGACTTTATTCTATCATTTCACTTACTCATCATTTTTGCCGCTCCAACTGTTGCTTTTATTTTTCTTCATCTACTATACTAGTAGTTATCCTATCTTTAGGTTCCATTAAGCAGAAATAAGTATTAGGTTTTAGGAGTGTGATTTTCTGCTATCACACTTTACAAATTCACTTTTGTTCTTAATGTTTGTTTCTAAGAGGATTAAACAGTGATTATTTTCTATCCCAAATAAGAATATGACTCTAGTTACTAGATAAAAATGCTGGCAGACTTTTCTAACCAATTATTAGGAAATGTGGCAACTGATTCTTAATCACCTGAAAGTAGAAGCTTGGTTATCACTATGAAGGTAGTATTGCAACAAAGATTTAGAAGCACATTTGACAGACATAAAGATAACGATGAGCCTTGGCTGGTGTAGCTTAGTTGGTTGGAGCATTGTCCTATACACCAAAAGGTGGTGCGTTCAATTCCCAGTTAGGGCTCATACCCAGGTTTTGGGTTCCATCTCCAGTATGGGAGGCAGCCTGTTGATGTTTCTTGCA